AGGAATGAAACTCAGGACCTGACGTTTGCCAGGCAGATGCAGAGCCGCTGAGCGATTTCCTGAGCCCAACTACTTTGTGGAGTTCGAGAATGGCTTTTGAATACTGAAAGAATACTGAACACTTTTTGTGCTATTCACAACCCAACAGCTGCAAACACAGCAATTTTAAGTTTAGTATGCCTCATGAGCATTTTCCCCCTTACCTCTTTAAGTTCAGATAATCAACCCAGCAACAAATCAGTGCCAGATTTAGGGTTTGCCAGCTTTCCGGGTGTGTGTACTTCCACAAGATGCCAGTGTAACACCTTGGAGCACAGATCTGGGATGAGATGAACCACAGGCTTATAAATTACACAATATTGCTGAATTATGGATATTAGACAATGTAACCCCAAGAGCAACAACAAGAGCAAAATGCAGCACTTAGGTATTGCTGGGTGTTTAGTATTTATTACCATAGTTGAGTTTTACTACTGACTGAGTTTAACAACAGTTTGCAAAATTCCTGAAAATTTAAGGCTACTCTTGGGAGGCACATGGGTGAGGGTTGGGAGAGCCGTGGGCTTAGCTCTAGGGAGTCAGGCCAGCAGAGACTGAAAAGGTCACTTAGCTAGGTCCAATGCGACTGGTGCTCAGGCTGGACAGACAGCACCTAACAAGGTAGAGGAGGTACCATTTTGGCACAAAGACACTCAGGCTGCTCTGTTGCAGCGGTTGCTATTTCAGGAAAAGGCTTTGAATTGGGACAAGAGCTGGACAGCAGGTCCAGGATGTCCGGTGGCCCAAAGCTTTATAAGAGCAAGGGACAACTGCGTGCTGGGGTAGAGGCCTAGGGGTGGGGGCGGCAAAGAAAGAAGAGAAGGGGAGCCCCAGCGCTCACCTTCTCAGGGTGAGTAGAAACTCACCTGGACTGGCCCTCCCCGCTTGGTCATCAGTAGATGCTGTACCACTGAGAGGCAAATCACTTTGAGTGTAATTTCTTGCAAAAAGAAAATATATATAAATGAAACAAAGCAATGAAAGGACAGAACAGAACAAATACATAGGCCAAGAACGAGAGAGCAGAGTCTCCTGAGAACTGAAAATGGTCCGCCCCACAGCCCTGTGTGAGGCAGGAAGCGTGGGGAGGCAGAGGCCTGGGAGCCAGGGCAGCAGCACGCCTCCTGCTGTGTGCGCAGCTGGGCCGGTATGTGCAGTCCTGTGCTCTGGGAGCCTCAGGTTCCCGGAGGGGTGGGCACTCCACGGTGGGCCCCACAGAGGAAGAGCAAGGCTCCTGGAAACAAGCGTGGATTCCTCCTTCAAACCCCTCACAGTCTCTCCAGGGACCCAGGGGCCCAGCACGATGAGGCTCAGGCAAAACTGTCTCTGGGGAGACCACGAACACCTGTCCCTTGGTAGATACTGCCTCTAATGCACATCAAGCACCCAGAGCAAGGACAGCAAAAACTTTCCCTCAGCGGCAGAACGTCGTCTCCTCAGAACTCTGAAGTTCATGCTGTGGTGACACAGCAGGTCTGGGCAGTGATTAATGGGGTTTAAAATGAGTCCTCCCAGGATGAAGCGAAAGCCCGGGTTGCTTCCCTCATCTGCAGATGGCTCAGCCTGGAGTCAGAGTTCTTGCCTTCCTCTTCCTCATTTTCTGAAGCCCCCAGATATCCTGTCCCTATGAGAAAGGTCTGCAAGGCCCAGAAGCAAGCTCTGAACTCCCCAGCCCTCCTGTCCCTGGGCCACCTGTTCCAGGTGATACAGAGGCAAGGCCTGTCTCTTACATGCCTACCTCCCGGAGCCTACAGTGCACGGGGGGCATGGTTACAACGCAATGTTCAATGCACTACAATGGAATTAAGCCCAGGAGCTGGGCACTGAGCCCACCTGGGCGTCTTGAGAAAGGCTGTCCAGAGCCACTGGCCAGTGGGTATTGAACTGGACTCTGCATGGCACTCACTTGGCTGAGAAGCTGGGTGGGCATTTCAAGCTCACAGAATAGCAGCCGTGAAGACACAGGAAATAGCCCAGGAATGCCTCATGAGTGTGGTAAATTATACTATGGTTTCCATTTCTACTCCCTGACACAGTGTCACGGCCCTAGGACTTACCTGGTCAGTGAGTCTGAAAAGCAGTCATACCCATGTCATTTCCAGACAGAAAAGCACGGTCAAGGGCCAGCGCCTCTTCCCATACCTCTGCAATAGTGAAGCCCCTTTCAAGATGGAAGCCAGTCAGCCTGGACTCCTGGTGAACGGAGGCCCCTGCTGGTCGGCAACGGACGCAGAGTGTGTGCTAGACAAGACTCTGGCTTATTGTGACCGCAGCACAACCTGGCTGCTCCTACCAGTACCACCAGCGTGGCTCAAACAGAGGCCGGTGTGCAGAGTATCAGGCGACAAGCCTGCACCACCCCGCTCACTCCCTTGCTGTTCTTTCTCCAGTCTCCCCCAGCTGCGCAAGCTGTACCTGGGGGCCTTCAGGTCCAGCCCTGCCACTTACTAGTTCTGTAACCTTGGGAAGTTCAGCTAATCCCTTTGAGCCCAACTTTGGAGAACAAGTTGAGAAGAATAAAAATAACTTTACATGTTTACAGGGCTGCTGTTTCCTGAATGAAGCCAGGCAGTGCTTATTCCTATCCCAGGGACTCTCCTTGGGCCACTTGTTCCAAGTACCTACGTGCTTATTACAATACAAATTCCTTCCCCTACCTCCAACCACAACCCTACTAAACTGAATCAGAACCTCTACACAAGAAATCCACACAAGGTCCTGAGCTTAATCCCTGGTACCAAAAAAAAAAAAAAAGGCCTAGAACATCACACATTTTTAGGAAATACTCCAGGTCATCTTTTGCATGCAGAGTTAAAGAACCATTGCCCTTAAGGTTCTGATTGACAGTAAACCTCCACACTAAGGAAAGATCGGTCTGAGGCCAAGAACCTCCAGTCTAAAGATGACTGGGCAGCCACAGGGCCTGCCTCAGTTAAAAGCCTGAGCCCTCAAGGCTCAGCATGAATCAGAGACGGAGTAACCAGCTCAGTGTGTCCAGCTTCAGCAGTCGCCAGCATGGAGCCGGCCAAGGTCAGTGCGGCCTGGCCAAGGGGTGAAGACTACTTCCTGGGCATGTAGGGCCAGTCCCTTTTCATTTAGGATGTGGCTGCTTCTTAGGAGAACACAGACCACATAAGACTCAGGCAGGGCAGTGGCTGCAAAACTAGGCTCTGGTAAGAGCCAGGGTGTATAGAGTTTCCCAAAGGCCTGAGTGGGAAGATGCTTTAAACTTGTGTTACTGCACAGACTGGTCCCAGCAGCTTTCTTAGCCAGCAGCTTTCTCTCCACAGAGGCTGCTGCCACAGGATTCCTCCTAATCACAGCTCCAAAGCACACAAGCTTGCAAGCACAGTGACTGCCTATGGCCTTCTGCCTGTAAAATCAGGCCTTAATGGCCTGCTCTGGTTCTCAGCTGCCTCCAAGTTATATTGTACCTTGTCTTCCTCATCCTTATGCCACTACTTCACCAGCCTACAAGTTCTCTCTGCTCTCCTTGTCCCTATAATCCAGGAGGGGAGTTCAAATTGATCCCCTGCACTCGTGCTGCTGGTGGTTTAGGAAAACCCCTTTAGGAGCCCCTGCAACAAGGTAAAAAAGCCGGCCCTCTTGCCCCAGGGGGTCCAAATCTGTGGTTCAGTCCATACCCAGAGTTCTGTGAGTCCCAAGTTGTACTTCCACTGAGCCTTTCTGCTGGGCTTCGTGCTCTACCTATTCTTTTAAAAAAAAAAAAACAAGAATCGAACTCAGGACTTTGTGCTTGCCAGACAGCTGCTTGTGCCACTGTTATATCTCCAGGCTTCTACCTTTTCTGCTCCTCTCCTTCCTCACAGATTTCATCTCCAAAGAACACTCTCAGAAGTCACCTGTGGGCTTTGCATCCAGGAACACTTCCTGTCATTTGGGAGATTCACTTGATGCCACAGTAGCTTGCAGTCACATACC